GATTCTCCATACCTCCTTCCAAAAAAGGCTATAAGTTTGCTGTCCTACCAGCAGTTTAAAAGTGTTCCCTTCTCCCCACATCCATGTCAGCATCTGCAGTTTTGAGACTTTATGATGTGGGCCATTCTCACTGGCGTTAGATAATATCTTAGGGTGGTTTTAATTTGCGTTTCTCTAATAATTACGGATGATGAGCATTTTTTCATGTTTGTTAGCCACTTATCTGTATTCTTTAGATGTCTCTTTGGAAATCAATTCAATGAAGTTCTCAAATTGTTTATCTTCACTAAAAGTTAGACTTTGCCACTTAAAAGGAAACTAATACAGTAGAACCTCTTTATTGACTATCCATGGAACTGTAACAAACTGGTCAACATAAGAAAGGATCAAGATAAAGAAGTAGGCCTACTGTACTGATATATACATGCACCTTACTTTGTTGTCCAACTTTTATTAGAGTATATCATATGAAATAGTCATAATCAAAACAGTAAAATCATGCATACAGTATCTTACAAAATCAGTACATTTACTGTTTGTTTATGGGTTAATCATTTTTTCTGAAAAAGGAGCCAGTCTTGGTCAGTTTCTTATTCTTATCACAAATATAAATGGAGAAAGCACTCTCAACATTGGCTAAACCATTCAGCATACCCAGGCATTTTTCCACAGCAAATGATGTCAAGTATGTTGTCAGATGCTTGATATCCTCTTCTTTTGGAGTCTCTGAAACTTCTGTGTTGTTCTCACTTTCTTTGTTCAGATCATTAGCTGCTTCATGCACTTTTACCCTGGCCTGTTCTTTGGTGAATATTCACTAATTGCCTGGAAAATTGTGTCTGGACCCTGGTCTGTACTTTGGTGAATATTCACTTATTACCTGGAAAATTGCGTCTGCATCAGGATCATTACGGTTTGCCACCTTACCATCCAATGCAGCAAAACATTCAAAATCTACTACTTCAAATTATGTCATGGAAGATGAACTGTCTGATGGGTCCAAAACATCATGCTTTTGGATTTTTACAAATATAACTTCCTTGAAACACTTCTGTGTCATTTCTGATTGAACTTTATTCCAAGTAGAACTAATCCAGAGGATAGCATCCAAAGTGTTAACTGATGCAGTGGATGAAGTTGCCTCCCACCAGTGGACCGCAGGTTTGTGTTTTAGTAATGATCCACTGCAGAAGCTGGGCTTGGTAAAGGATTTGAAATGTTTTGATGATTCCTTGTTCAAGAGTTGGATTTCTGAGGTCATGTTTATAGGCAGAAATTTTGGTGTCCCATATGTCAGATGATTCATTTGTGGATGGTCAGGATAGTTGTCTATTATCAGTAGAATAGATTATTTTTTCTTCATTTATTATTTGATAACCCTTACCCTCTTCTCAAATAGGGCACTCAACTATGCACATTCGTTAGATCTCCAAGAGACAACGAGGTCTTCAGGCTTTGGGTTCTTGAGTGCACATGTTTTTGCCAACTTAGTAATAGCCAACTGCTTTAGTTTTTCTCTGGTTGAGCTAGGTAAAGCACAACTGTGAAACAACCTTTGGAAATTTTTCCACTCTTATATTTTTCACTCTTCATGCTGAGGCTCCTGTCAGGCATTACCTTGAAAAAGAGGCTGCACTCCTCAGCACTAAAAATATCATCACCTTTGAAGCATCTGGTAGTATCTGGGAACTTTTTAATGAACTCTTTCCCAACTTTTACTAGAACTTCATTGGATTCCCCACAAAACACTTTCTGGGAGATTTTGTGTCACAATTTTAATTTCTTGAACCAATCACTTGATGCTTGGACATCTGACACTTCAAATTCCTGTGTGAATTTTTTTTAGCAACTTCTTGGATCATTGGTCTGGAGATTCAGGTGTTAACAAGCTTAATGTGACTTCATTGACTTCATGGAGGGAAGTTTTCCTCTTTTTCCACTGTAGGTCTCTGCTTCTCTATACCATATTCTCTAAGTACTCATGTTTATGTTTTTTGATGTTGCCAACTGTGTGGTCTTGCTAACACCAAAATGTCCCAACATCTTTCTTTGGCTGATGCTTACCAGGAAATATAAATTGTGGAAGCTTAACTTTTTCCTTCAATGTCACCTCTTTGAGTTTTTCCTTTGGGTTAGCGTATCTTGATTAAGTATAAAAATTTTCAATACATGTAAGATGTACTTACAATTCAAACCAGTGCTTTACATTGAGAAAAATATTCCACAACACATGCTAAATAATAGGATGTCAGGCCTAATCTATACATGGTAATAGTAACACATGAAAAAATAATTAGCTAAAGAAAAAAAATAATACAAGTAAAGGACAAAGCCCATAATTTCTACTCTTTATTGTAGAGTGGACTCAACTGTTCAAGTTATAGAGAGTAAATTATTATTGAGTGCCACAGTCCAAATGGTCAAGATGCAATTTACAGAGGTGGTCAATACATAGAGGTCAATCTTCTATTGAGTACATGTTGTACATGTCTTGTCTATAAAAGTTAGGTTAACTTAAGGAGATGGTCAATGTAGGGGGATGGTCAATTATGGAAGTTCTACTGTATTTTTAATTAAAGTAAATCAAAAAATGAAAATCAAATATGACTTCTTAATTTTATGATCTTTTCTAAATATTAAAATGTCATTGTTGGAATGAATATTAAAAAAATTCTCTTTAATGATAGCTTTAACTTTTCCTTTTAGATCTCATCTCTAAACAAACAAGATTTACTCTGTGTCTAGTACTGTTGCTATGTTTCCGGTATAGAGGAAATGAAATAGAAAACAATATTTTACTCTAAAGGAGTTAATAGATTAAATGGGGAAAATCATCTATAAATTGATGATTAAGTGATGACAGAGGGATGCTGGCACAATGTTCTGTTTGTTAACTATGACTTTAGTTTCTATCATTCATTAATTCATTGAGTGAGTTAGCAAATATTTATTGAACTCTTAATATATGCCAGTTGCTGGTTTCATTACTAGGATGAACAGTGAGTAAAAAAGTTGTTCTCCTTATGGAGTTTAAGGAATACATTTATGTCTATATTCCCAGTGCTAACAAGCGGTGGAATTAGAATTAGGAATCAAGTCTCCTGATTTTTTATGTCAGTGTGCTTTAAGCAGTATTGGAATAATTAACATGGAATCCTAATATCAAAAGCCATCAGTCTACTAAGGAAAAATAGAATTTATACATATACAAAGTGAAATCCTTTGATAAATAACAAGAATGCAATTTAAGTAACCTTGCAATTGCACAATCTCATATTATATAGCACTGAAATTTTTTGTCCTCACTTATAGTGTTATGGTGAGATTTTTCTGTATTTGCTGTAAAATGCAAACTACTTTTGAACTTGCTTTTTCAGTTTTTAAAAGGAAAAGTTGTAGAGATATTACCAAGGATTATCATGTGATAATTATTTTTCCATGTTATCTGAGTAATAATAAAAATAAGATAATTTTAATTAATTTGAAAGTAAAAGTATGCTATTTAATTTTTTGATTTTTAAGTGTACTATTATTTTTAGGTTTATTCAAGGAAAAGACCTCTAAGAACACTAAAAAGAACTGGCTCCTAGGTTTCTACATTTTTCTTCCTATTCTCTTTGTAACAACCATGGCAACCTTGGCATGGAATCGTTGGAAAAAGTGGATCACCAAGGAAGAGGAATCTTTAAGCAGCGAGTAAATTGAATTTGTGTATTTTTTCCTTTTATTAAATCATATACACATAGATCATGAATACATTTGTGCATTTGTGGGATACAATGTGTTGATTTTTTTACACAATTTGGAATGCTTACATCAAACTAATTAACATAGCTTTCATCTTATTTACTTAACTATTGTGCTAAGACATTTATGTTCTATACTTGATAGATTTGACTTGTACCATTGCAACATGCTTCATAGATATAGATCCACTGTTTGGATTTGCGTTTTGAAGTACACTGTAATACCATTTGAATCTACTCATATGTAAGGCAATATCAGCAGCAGCAATAATACTTTACATTTTACTGGTATTGCGAGTATTTCATCCACTTAATTTTGTGAGATGCCTGTGAATATCCTACTTTTGGGATGCAAATATTTGAGAGTATAGTTTAAATATTTTTCTTTTTTTAAATTAAATGATAGCTGTGTACATTAATGCAATCTTGGGGTACAGCGTGGTGTTTTCATATACAATTTGAAATATTTTCATCAAACTGGTTAACATAGCCTTTATGTCATTTTCTTAGCTTTTGTGTTAAGACATTTATATTCTACTTTTGGAAAGATTCACTTGTACCCTTGTAAGATAAACCATAGAAGTGATCCCATCAATCACCGTCCCTCCACCCATCCACACCCCCATCACCCCCTCCCCATATTCTTAGGCTATAATTAGGTTGTCAGTGTGATGGACAGACTTCAGCCTCATAAAAAGCTCAACTTCATCACACTGGATGGCTGAGCCTCAGGTAACTCTCACTATATCATAGGTAAGCTAACTGATTTTTTTATAGATTAGTTTTTTTTTTTTTTTCAAATTTTTCACTAAACAGGCAATTGAAATACAAGGTCACAAAAATAAGTGGTAAGGTTATTGTAAAATGAAATGGACAGAATATATATTCAATTTAATTTTCCATCTATGAGAATTTCACAATCAAATCATAGTTTACTTTGTATTATAGACATGCTTGTTGAACTTATTTATCATCACATAAGATAACTAACAAATTCCTGAAATTCTTAATAGTTATTTGGATGATCTTTTAATGTTGTAGGTATTTTCAGTTTTTTGACTAATAAATATAACATAAAAGTGGAAGAATCCAGAAAATATTTTTGAAGTAGTTAAATAATAGAAAACAAACATTAGACAATGTGATGCTGTACACTTCAGTTTCATACAATAAAAGTTCAAATTGCAGGCCTTTTCTTGGAAAGTTAGCAGAAAACACTCCATAAATTTAATATGGGAGCATCTTTCCCCCTCCCAGGGGAAAGCATGAACGCAATCCCCCACCATCACAAATTATACAGTCGAATTTCCCACATTTGGGGAAATTGCAGGGGTTAGCACATCCGGAGTGCAATGGATAAGCTTTGCCCTGGGAAAACCACTTTCGCAATCATGATATCTCCTCTACCAATGAGCATAAGATGTGAGCATCTTACTCTGAAAAATTCTGTGGTAGTGTTCTTTCTGCCCATGACAGTCAAGATTGAGAATTAGAACAACATATTTCAGCATGATGCACTGTTTGTTTTTATGTATATGCCAATAAATGAAGTTTTGAAAATACATATAACAATTTTTACCCCCATTTTCAAGTACATATATTTCAAGGCTACTATGGGCTTTAATAGTCTGTTTACTTAATAAAGTGAATTAGCACTTGGTACCATTTTAAATGCAAGTAACTGCCATTAGCTTACAGAGTGTTTTAAACCCTAGCAGTTGCAAGCTCTGAGAAATCCTTACAGAATGATAGCTATTATTGGTTTGAGCAGTGACTTCTTGTTCTATGACTTTGGATTGAAATTTCTTTTGGTATATTATATGTATGTTGCCATCCCAACATATCTTACATCAAACCTTGTGTTCCCAATTAAACTTCAAAATAGCCCTGTATTGACATTGTCCTCCATGAGCTTAAGCTTTGGATCTATTAGTACCCAACTCTTAAGACTGGCGTTTAGTATTGCCACTTCCTGTAGATTCAAATACTGTTAACTTTAGGGGGCTAATAAAAATTACTATTCCAGAGTGACAGCACAGTGCACCAGCCATCCATCCTACTTGAATCTAAAACAGCCATGTTTGATCATGGAAATGAGGCTTAGCAGCATCTTACCAGGATGAAAGAGTTTCAGCTTGGATTTTAAGGGAGTAAGGTTTTAATCCTCTTAAAGTATGACTAATATAATTAGGAGTTGTGTTGATATTCTTCAGTAGTATTCAAAGCCAGATTCAGAGAGTCAGCAATCCTTAGTCACATCTGATTTCAAAGAGAATTAGCTTAAATCTTAAATTCAACCTTAAGTAAGGTAGAAATAAAACAGTATTCCAAATAAAGTGTTCTGTGAAAATTTCTATCAGTGGAAGCTGATTATTATTAAGTTGAATAGAAATAGAATGCCACATTTTTGCATTTAATTCATGTAATCTTGGCCAATAGGTTCCATAAGGTTGTACTCTGCAAACTCTAGATTTTTTGATTTATTTATTTTTTATTAAGTCATATACAGATAGATGATGAATACATTTATGCATATGTGGGGTCCAATGTGTTGATTTTTTAATACAATCTGATATGTTCTTTTTTTTATTTATTTTATTTTATTTATTTATTTATTT